GCATCACGCTCACAGCAAATTCCAACTCCTGGGCTCAAGCGAGTCTCCTGCCTCAGCCTCCCAAGTAGCTGGGATCACAGGCGCCGGCCACGCCTGGCCATTTTTGGGTTGCAGTCATCATTGTTGTTTGGCGGGCCTGGGCTGGGGATTCGAACCCGCCACCTTAGCTGTATGTGGCTGGCGCCTTAGCCGCTTGAGCCACAGGCGCCGAGCCAACATTTGTTATCTTAATGTGACGTGAGTATTACAATTTTAATACAGATTTTTCCTTACTTAAAATGTGTATACATTTTTTTTGGCATCCTCTGTAGTTTTTGTTTGTTTGTTTATTTTGCAGTTTTTGGCCAGGTTGGGTTTGAAACCACCACCTCTGGCATATGGGGCCGGTGCCCTACTCCTTTGAGCCACAGGCGCTGCCCCATCCTCTGTAGCTTTAAGACTGGCTCACTTCTTTCCATGCCTCCTGCCATGCCTTAGTTTGGCATCCTGATTGCCCACCTGGATTCTGTAAATGGTCTATCTCTAATTCTGCCTTCCTTTCTCTATACTGCCCCTTAAATGATTTTTTTCTAAAATTTACATTCCTTCCTCAAGAAAGGGCCTTAGAGCTGGCTGTGGTGACTCCCTAGCAAGCTGGGAGGCTGAGGGGGAGAATTGCCTGAGAGCTCAGGAGTTCAAGACCAGCCTGAGGGGTGGTGCCTGTGGCTCAAGGAGTAGGGCGCCAGCCCCATATACCAGAGGGGGTGGGTTCAAACCTGGCCCTGACCAAAAACTGCAAAAAAAAAAAAAAAAGACCAGCCTGAGAAAGAGTGAGACCTCCCTCTCTACTAAAAATAGAAAACTTAGCTGTCGTCCCAGCTATTCAGGAGGCTGAGATGAGAGGCTGAAGTAGGAAGATCGCTTGAATCCAGGAGTTTGAGGTTGCCGTGAACTAGGCTGATCCCACTGTGCTCTAGCATGGGCAGCAGAGTAAGGCTGTCTTAAAACAAAACAAAAAAAGACCTCACATTCCTGTAGTTTCAGATATAACAAGAACACATGGGTTTTCTTTTCTGTTGCTTGGTGTTGATTTGTTTTTTATTTATTTATTTATTTATTTTCAGGCAGAGTCTCACTATGTTACCCTTAGTAGAGTGCTGTGGTGTCCCAGCTCACAGTAACCTCAAACCCTTGGACTTAAGTGATTCTCTTGCCTCAGCTTCCCATGTAGCTGGGACTACAGGCACCCACCAATGCCTGGCTATTTTTTGTTGCCGTTGTCATTGTTGTTTAGGTGGCCTGGGACAGGTTCGAACCCGCCAGCCTTGGTGTATGTGGCTGGAACTGTAACCACCGTGCTACGGGCGCCAAGCCATATTTGTTTTGGGGGGTTTTCTTGGGGGAGGTTGAGACAGAGCCTCAAGCTGTTGCCTGGGTAGAGTGCCGCAACATCACAGCTCACAGCAACCTCCAACTCTTGGGCTTAAGCAATTCTCTTGCCTCAGCCTCCCAAGTAGCTAGGACTACAGGCGCCCACCAAAACACCCAGCTATTTTTTGGTTGTAGTTGTCATTGTTGTTTGGCAGGCCTGGGCTGGATTCGAACCCTCCAGCTTTGGTGTATGTGGCTGGCGCCTTAGCCGGTTGAGCTTTAGGTGCTGAACCAAGATTTGTTATTTATTAATAGAAAGAAAATGATTAGTTTTTCTTCTAGCTATTAGTACAATTAGTCTTGTACTATAATGTCCTAGTATGTCTGATGAATTGCTCTACACCTAACAAGTGTGCTTACATGGTTTCTAAGAACCTTTTCCAGTGTTTGGTCATCTACATGAAAAATCTGCACTTGGAGGCAGGGCAGGGTGGCTCTTATCTATAATCCTAGTCCTCTGGCAAGCCCAGGCAGGTGGATTGCTGGAGCTCAGGAGTTTGAGACCAGCCTGAACAAGAGTGAGACCCCAGTCTCCACTAAAAGTAGAAAATCTAGCCAGGAGTCATGGTGAGCACCTATAGTCCC